AATTTATCCACCAAGTCTCTCCCACACTAAAAGAATAGAAGAAAAACTAAACTCTGGGTTCCGAATAGTTGCTTTTATAAAACTATCCAGACTTTATTGCTTGTTTTGTTTTTTTTTTAAAGAAAGGCAGACTACCACGTGCAGTGCCTCATTTGGATGTGTCTGGAGTCTTGGAAACTTGACTACCCTATGTTCTCCTACAAATGGACCTCGAGAGCTTGTTTGGAGGTTCTAGCAGGGGAGCGCAGCTACTTGTATACCCTTGACCAAAGACTGGTCCTCCTCTATCGGGGAAGGTCGTCCTCTTCGTCCTCTTTGACTGAACGCACAGCTTCGGGAGGGCTGCACGGGGAACGTTGAGGGAGGAAGGGGACACCCTCCTAGCCAGCCAGATCAGCCGAATCAACCCTGGCGATCAATGGGGTGACAGATGTCACAGCCAGATCGCCCTCACATCCTTGTTTTTGTTTTTAGAGACAGTATCTCCCTATAAAGTGTAATTAGCTTTGGACTCAAGAGCCATCTGCCTCAGCCTTCTGAGTTAATGAGGTTATAGGTGTGTACCACCATGACTGGACAATAAAAACAAAACCCCATGACTGCCTTTGGTAGTTATGGTTTCTTGCTGTAAATTCACAGTGTGTGTAGCTGCCAATCAGCTATGGATACCATCATTATTACCAAAAATTTAAAGAACGAAAGTTAAATATTTGTAGGTTCAAAAGAGAAAATTTGACAAAGAACTTTTAAAGAGAAAAATAAAAATTATTTGGATGCTCTTCTAAGGACGAGAAACCAGGCTTGAATGAATTTAAGATGTAATCTGTTAATTTTATGAGCACAGATAATGTCCAAAATAAGCAATTTTACATTTTTTGCCACTTTTGTTTTTTTATACTTTTCAACAGGTCTTGTTACATGATCTAGGTTACCCTGGAATTGCCATCCTACAGGATGTACTAAGAGCCTTCCAAGTAGCTGAAATACATAGGTGCACCACTAGCCACTACATTTTTAAAAGGAGTAATACTCATGCTTAATTAGCTTGTTTCTGTCATATACACAGACTACAGTGCATACAAACATGTAACATAGCAATGATAACTATGCTTGAAAAAGTCTGTAAACAACTCAAGAGTCATTCTAACCTCAAATGAGGTACTTAGGCATAGTATAGATTACCCATAATTTTCTAAAAATACTTCGGAGGCACTCACTAATGGCAAATGCTTCTATAGAAATTGGATAAAAAGTACAGGAGGCAGGAAAGAATAATAATGCTCAAGGAATAAACTAGTTGTAAGATAAATAAAACAAGAAATTAAAACTTAGGGTAATCATATTGATGGAATGTGCCAAGATTTGGCTCATCATGAGTTTTACTGAATTAGCTTATCTACTTGAGTTTTTCAAAAGAAAAAAGTGACCACAAAATTAGAAAGAAAATCACTGGTAATAAGCCTATGTATGGACCATATATATACAAAAATTATATTAATAACCACATTAGAATTTCTAATGCATTAGAAAACAAGAAATCATGAGGTAGTATTTATTTGAAATGACACTGATATTGCAGACTGTCTTACTAAATGGCTCATTTACTTTTACTTCATTTATGCTGATGTACAATTATTACTCTGATTTCACAGCTGATGTTTAGGAGATCTGTCCAAGGTCACACAGATAGTACTGGGCTGAAATTAAAGTCTAGGGTTAGTTCTCAAGTATCCCAGTCTTCAGTTTCAAAATGTACTGCCATTCTTTAGAAAAAAGAAAAAAAAACGGACTTCCTTAAAAAAAAAAATCAAGCTTTGTTGAATAAAAAATAACTTTTCACTTTACATTATACATTCATTTTTGTTCTAAAGAAAATGAAACTGTGAAAAAGAACAGATTTCTAAATCATGGGATGAGTGCAGGGGTCACACAGGAAACTGAGTTGAAATCAACATATTCTTCCTTGGAGGACTGTACCACAGTCAGTGCTAGTCACTTACAGATAGCTGCAGTGAGGACATCTCATGAGTCTGTCATGCAGTGTATTTTCCATACCTTCCAGATGTATTCTTCAGTACAGCAAGAGCATCTGGATAGCCATCCATGTTGTAATCTCCAATATGAAGGGTGATGGGAATGGGTATTTCCGTTGGTTGCTCTTCATGTAAAAATGGCACAAAGCCCCAGAGTGTACCCTTGTTACTAAAATCTTGTAGGACAGGAACCCACTAAGGATAAGGAGAAAAAAGATAAGATCATAGTTACTTCAGGAAAATATTCATCATTTGCAAAAGAAATGACCCATTAAAATCCATCATTTCATTTCTGCAGCTCCGTAAATGGTAGGGTATTATAATTTATTTTGATGGATAGGTGACAGAGACTCTGGGGAAAGAGTAGTCTTCCTTAGGATTGGTCAGTAGTCACTATGGTTTGAACGCACACAGAGCCATAGAAGATTTCTCACCACATGCATGGAGCCTTAGGAATGTTTTGATGTTAACAGTCAGCTAGGATTGTTCAATTTAAAATATAAGCCAAGTGAAAATATAAGAACTCTTAGGTGACTATTTGAAAGACCTAGAGCAAAGTGTAGTGTTACCTAATACAGTATCCTTTTAGGAGGATCAGCTTGGGAAGAAAGCACACAGTACTTTATTCTGGCGCTGTGCCTCTTCTAAATAAAACTGACTAGCCCTCACTGTCAAGCCATGCAGATGATGAGGCTTTCCAAACATCCCCAGCCCTGAAAAGATCTGTCCTCACCAGAGAGGTGTTGTTTAGACAAGGGGAATGAGCTCTGACACCAGTAAACCTCCTATTTTCAAACTGACTACAATGAAGAGGACAGAGGCTGCCTTTCAAATGAGCTTCTGTACAGCGTTTCTCTTCTGACTGCATACACTTTCACTTTTTCCTAAACTCATATAAAGTCAATAATCTGAAGAGTAGATGCTTCCCTAAGGTGTTAGCACGTAACCTGGGGATGTCAATGTGAAGCAGGCACAGCTGACTTTAGATGGCAGGAGGTCAAACATGTCTACAGGTGTATTTTTCCCCTGATAAACAAGGTGATTCATTTTTATTGCTGAAAAGTATATATAAATGGCTTCTTAAAAAGGGCCTAGTAATAAAGAATATCTCCAACATCTTATAAGTCTTCTGAAAAAGAAAGTATAATTTGCTGTAGAAAAAGAAAAAAAAATCTTAATGATAAAGATACCTGTATAAATTCATTTCTAAAAAAAAAATCTGGTCTGTATATTTTTTAGTCTTTAATGACAAATTATTACTTTACATCATATGAATCTGCTTTTAAAATAAATGTTTTGATAATTTTACATGCTATTAGAAGAAAGAAAATGTTATATTTTTCAGAAAGATTGGAAATTTCACAAAATGTCAAGTTCTCACAAATTTCTAAGAAGTTGACAGTTTATGAATGAGGGTAAGCCACAGTGTAAAAAGTATATTTGTTGAGATAATTGTATTAAGTTCTAAAAACTAAAAATTAAGTTCTAAGATTTTTCACTTAATGTGGCATCTGTAACAATCATAAAAGAACTGTGAAATCTTTTCAGAGATAACTATAAAATTTTCTTCTTTTTTCCATAGAATTAAGCAATTTGTAAGGAAGTGAATAAATTGCTTTGGGAAGGCTGAATTTATAAAACATTTCATACAGAACATCTCAAACAATCTTGATCATCTTTATACCCCTGTCCCCACTGGTACCCTCCCATAGCCTCCCCCTGCCACTGGAGCCCATATACTCTGTTATCCCTGTTAAGGTCCACTATGTTGTCAGTGTCCCCAGCCATTCCCCAGTGCAAGTCTGTCCACTGAATCTAGTCAGCCTATCGAATCCCTTGTTTTAAGAAGCTGAGCTCTTCTTCATCTAGTAGCAATCAGTTGCCAACATTCCTTCAGATAAGATTGAGGTCTGCTGTTCATTTTCCCAGTTCAATGCATAGGACTTGTGTATGCTGACACCACTGCCATAGATTCATATGAGCAAGTTCCCAGGAGCTTGTAGGACTCTGTTTCCATATGGTCCTGCACCTCCTCTCAGGCTCTTACCATCTTTCCATCCCCTCTTCCATGATGGTCCCTAAGCCTTGGGTGGATGAAGTTTAATAAAGGTGTCCTGTCCAAGGACCATTATTCAGCAGATTCTTTACACTTTGGCCATTTGTGATCTTTTGTGTTCCTGGCCCTCCGTTACATGAGGGAGCTTCATTATTGAGAACTGATTCATTAGTGTCCCCTTTATCCCTGTTCTGTGTTCCATGAGGCTTAGGTGCAGAGGTTGCATTGTAGATGTGTCCCTTAGGCCTGGGAAATCACTTAACAGGTTGTAATTGCTAGGTATACTTTATAGTATGAACCAGTGATATATTATTTTACCTAATGTTTTAAATGATTCAAAACAATTAAAAAATAGTCAAAGAGTAAGAGTCATGGGCAGTAGTACATGACTGACTAAACAGAAACAGTTTTACAGGCTCCTGGGACTTTGCTCACATGAGCTTACAGCAAATGTTTCAGGAATGCACAAGACCTACGTAACTCAATCAGACAAAAACCCAGCATAGAACTGGGGAAAAGGGCAGCAGGCCGTACCCTTAGCAAAGAACTATTGGGAACTGGGTACTGCTGGGTGAGGGAGAGGTGATATTCTTTAAGGGAATGACACTAGATAGGCTGACTAGACTCTAGTAGATGAACTTACATTGAGGGATTACTGGGTATACGAACTTGACTCGATAGGCCTTAACATATATATGATGGAATGCATGAAATCAGGTGTGTGGGGGGCTATGCAGGGCATGGATGGGGGTGGGGGTACAAAGATGATTAAGATGTTTTGTATGAAACATACAAAAATTCAGTGATGATATACGTTAAAAATAGTCAAAGATAATAAAACTAATGAATATAATACTTAAATGATTTAAAATGCTTAATGTACAAAGATTTGTTTTATTGTCTCTGAGTACAAAATGTGATGCTTCCTATTCATAAAAACTATAAAAGTGATCTCAGCACCCACAAAGAAAATAAAGAGAATTAATTTCATTATTGTCATAGCCTTTCATTTCCATATTAATCCTCCATGGTGACTCTCGAACTCTAAATTATTTCCTGATAAGCGAGAGGCAAAAAGTCAGCATGAGAAAATGAAATGGAAGTACACACTCAAACAAGATTAGCTCCCAATAGGATGTTCTTCCACATAACATTTTATAATAGTGAGCTTAAAGTGTTTCTGGCATCTAAAATGCTACATTTCATTTAATTACAGGATCTAGGATGAATTTTTGTCACTAAAAATTATTAGTGTTTTCTATCTCAATGAATGAATTAAAACATTTAAATGTATTTTATTTAAAGGGAAGAATTCAATAATGCAATTTTGCACTTTGTTCTGATTCTTGAAACATACTTTCTAACTTTCAAGATATTTTTCAAGCACATGAAACTGTCTGTAGTAATCCAACAAGCTGATGTACCTGCTTTGTTCTGGACCTCATTAAATATATTGCACTTTTCTGGCAGTTTTTATCTTCACAGCCTGGCAGTAAGTGATCCATGTGTCCATCTCCATCTGCCAAAAGAAACTTCAAGAGTCCATTAACAGCCACAAAAAGTGTTCATGTGTGGTAGATTAAAGTCTTATTTGTTTAAAGACTCAATCAAGAGGGATAAATAAAAAAACTTGACCCAGGGTTTTATAATAAAGGTGACTCGATTAAAAAAAAATCACTCTGGCCCCTGTTACTTATTATCTAGACTGTGTCTTGTTTTGAAGACTTGCAGACTTTTCTGTGCTTAGGAAGTAGATATTTCAGGCTTTAAATTATACCTGGTATAAAAATCATTTTTTTCCATTCTTTTAAATTTTTACTTACTTATAACAATTTTGATTGTTCTAAGCATTGAACTTAGGGGATTGCACATGCCAGGCCAGTGCTTCTGTCCGAGCAACATGCCCGTTCTCAAATCACCTATATTTAAAAAGGTAGCTTTTGATTTACTTACATAAATATTACTGTTTACATAGGAGAAACATATGTATGTGCACAGTAACACATTATTGTATAGCCTATTTTAAACTATGGGGCTTTTAGAGTTTTAAGTACCTTTTATTCAGTATGAATTTCAACCCAAGAGTTAGAGAGCTCTCAGCACTTTGGCTTCTCAAAAACACCAATAAATGTTTGCTAATACAGAAGCAAACTAGTGTCCAACTCACATGCAGCCTGGCATAACTAAGAATATGGTCCAAAATTAAATCGTAAATGTACTGAGAACATGAGCAGGCATTTTTTTTTCAAAGATTACTTTTTAAAATTTTATGTGTATGTACCTGAGTGTATATACACATAAGGGCCAGAAGAAGATGTCAGATTCCCTGGAACTGGAGTTAGAGGTGATTGTGAGGTTCCTGAATGTGGGTGCTGGGTACTGAACCTGCGTCTTCTGTAAAAGCAGTCAGTGCTCTATGCCATCTCTCCAGCCCTCCTTGAGAACCTGTTAATGTATGAGCTAACAAATTCATATTCTCATGTATTGTCTGAAATTATACTACTGCTTTAATACTATGGGCTTATTTTGAAAAGACTACAAGAACTGTGAGAGGTAGGATATTGAATTGACATACAGCAGATTATTAGCAGATACCTCACATGTAGACTCCCAAATCAAAGAAGAAAAAGAGAAAAAAGTAATTATTGGTATGCTGCAAAGTCGAAACTTCGGGTTTCTTTTTTTTTTTTTTTCTTTTGACTGGATCTCTCTCTTTGTAGCCCCAGCTGGGCTGGCCTGTATCTCACTTTGTAGATTAGGCTGGTCTTGATCTTACAAAGATCCATCTGCCTCTGCCTTCTGAGTGCTAGGATTAAAGACGTGTGCCACTATGCCTAGCTCAAAAATATTCTGATTTGAGAAATACGAACTGGGTAGGGACAGAGAATTTTTGTAAACTTACTACTGAAGGTTGGGAAAGACTACAGTTGAATAAAGTTATATCCTGATCCTAAATGATAAGTAACAATTTAGAAGTATGCTGCTATAGCTTAAAAACTGACTGAATTTAAAGGGAAATTAAGGTACTTCTTCCTAGGACCCTTATAAAGTGTAACAGAAACTTAATAGTGGAATGACTTTACAGTAATGGGAAATTTATTATACTTGATAATAAAATCTATTGAAAAGGCTTTCTTACCCAAGATAAATCAACATGTAGTAAATGTGGTAACAGAATCACTTCTGCTTATTTTTGATCCACCCTCCCAATCAAAACCAAACCTATCTTCTAGAACTAGATGTCTCATATTTTTGAGACAAACAAATCTGGAGAATGGTATTAAATACAGTATTAAATATAGTATTAAAATTCTGTAAGAGTAAAGTCATTAAAGATGTAAGAATCAGAAGGAAAACATTATTATATGGTATAAAACCCGTAAAACCTAATACACCAGTAGCTAGCTCACTGCTACTACTTTTTTTATCCTTTTTCTTCTATCAGTGAGGATGGGCAGTCACACATCTTAAGAACTAGTACAGAAGAAGGGAGTACAAGATACGTGAACCCTTGGGCATGTGTCTTAACCTCTCCGAATTCCCATTACTCAACTATATAATGGAATAAATAACATTTGTCACCTCAGAGAGGTTTGGTATAGATAGGGGTTTCTCTGTGTTGCTTAGGTTGGCCTTGAACTTGGTCTCAAGTGATCCTCCTGATTCAGCCTCCCATATAGGTGGGTTTACAGCATGCACCACTATGCCCAATATAATAAAAACTTCCTATAAAATAGTTCTTGCCAAAAAAGCATTGTTAACTAACATAAAAGATAATGAGCATTTGTATATCCTAAATTCTAGGTAATTCTTTTAACGCTATTGATGTAAAAAAGAATCTTGATTGTGGGGCTGGAGAGATGGCTCAGCAGTTAAGAGCACTGACTACTCTTGCAGAGGACCCGGGTATAATTCCCAGCACCCACATGGCAGCTTCCAGGAGAATCCGAAGCCCTCTTCTGACCTCTGCAGCACTCCATGACACAGCACTCACATACATGCAGGCAACACACTCATACACATAAAAAAATAAAAATAGCAAATAAAATATTTTTAAAAATCTCGATTGCTTTCTGAAAGCTGCTAAGGAACAGAATGCTCTGGAGGGCATTTTTATCTGTCCACCCCATCTATCACCATTCCTCCAACCCACCTAACCATACCCCACAATCAGCTCTTCAGCGGGTAGAATGCTCAGCAGAGGAGTTATGTCTATGAACCTACCTACATCCACAAACAGCAGAACTCTGATTTTCCAAATGAATGAATGAAGCATTTATACAGAATGAAAAATGTACAGTTGCAGATAGAAGAAAAAGGATAAAAATAGAATCCAGATTTGTTTGAAAATAGGGCAGGATAGTCACTCCATAACCCATCTGGCAGGCTTCAACAGTGCTCTGACTGAGAGCAGGATTCCTCTCAGGTATAATTTGCCAGGAAGGAATATACTGTACCATCTTCTTAGATGTAGGTATCTGTTAGGTCTAAGAATAGACAAGGTATCTTCAATAATCACTATTCTAGTACTCCTGAGATCAGGTAATGAAGAGATGAGCACGGCCAAGTTCTCAGAGTAGTTTAATGGCTTCCACTTATCAGAGATCCATTTTGCTAATCAGAGTGACAAATGGTCAATTAAGTGGTGTTATATTAGAAATATAGCCATTAAATTGCAAAATAATAATGTAAAATGTAAAATATATTATTATTCTATACATTTTTTTCAATAAAAACTCAAAAGCATAATTTTACATCCATATTATCAGGCATCAGTAAAAAATGTTTAATATGTAGTAGTTTTGTGACTGTGGAAATAACCTAGAGGTATAGCTTTATAAAAAACTCATAATTTTTATATAAATTTCTATCTTAGTTTCTTTTTCTTGTTGCTGTGATAAAAACCCAGGAAAAAGTAACTCAGTCCTGGGAGAAAGGGTTGATTTTGGCTCACAGTTCCAGATTACAGACCATGAAGTAGAGAAGTCACATTGGCTCAAGGAACAGTCCCATCACATCCATAATGGGAACAGAGAGCAACAAATGTGTGCATGCTAGTGCTCAGCTTGCCTTCTCTACTTTTATACAGTACAGGATCCCCACTCACAATTAACACAGGTTAATTCCCACATCAATATAATCAAGACAATCCCCCAACGCATGCTCAGAGACCATCTCACAGGTGATTCTAGATTTTTGTCAAGTTCACAATGAACCCTAACCATTACAATGAGAGCATTTCCAATAAAAAAGCACTCATGTATTTATCAGAGCTCCATCTAGCATCCATGACTCATTAAAAATGCCTTGTGTAAGTCTTTGATACAAAGTAGAAACTCAGGGACTAAAAATGTTTGCTATGGCAGATATGACACTGCAAATGTCAAAGTGATACAGATGGAAATGTCACATCTTCAAGGAAGGCCTCTAGGAGATGGAGACATTTTAGCAAAACCAGAAGGTGGAAAGAGCCAAAAGGATCTGGAGGAAGAGCATTCTATGCAGAGGGATGAAAAACAGCAAATGCATGTGGGAGAGACTACTTGAAGAACATCGAAAAGGCCAATGTAGCCTGAGAAAAATGACATTAATAGTGTTAGTAGGGCAGGATGTTCCAGACATATACTTTTTCATTTATTCATTGACTATCCATCTTTTTTTTTTTTTTGGTCTTTTTGAGACAGGGTCTCCCTGTAGCCCCAGCTGTCCTGGAACTCACTACGTAGACCAAGCTGGCCTTAAACTAACAGAGATCTGCCTGCCTCTGCCTCCATTGGGATTAAAGGCATGTGCCACCACGCCCGGCAACTATCCATCTTTTAAAAAGAGGCTATGCTGGTAATTAAACCCCGTATGTCTCAGAACTTGTATCTCCTGTTTGTGTTAATTTGGGTGTCTAACAGACAACTTAAAATGTCTAAAGCAGAACTATTTAATAGTACACCAGTCTTTGCTAGCACATGGAATGGCACTGCCATCCAGATAGCTGTTTAAGCCAAATAGCAGAAACCACTTTTTATTTTTCTTTTATTCTTTGATCTCACACAATCCTTCAGTAGTGCTGGCAATATACCTAAATAAAATCATTTCTTTCTAATTCTTAGTAATTGTCCTGGCCCTACTCATTCCTAGTCTTTGCCTGGTTCATTGCAGCTCCTTTTCAACTAATCTGGAAGCTTCCAAATTTCTTACCATGGCTGACAAACCCATATAAGATCTTGTCAAGGGAAAGTATTCTTTTTTGTCTTTTAAACAGTAAGATCACTTAGCCTTAGAATCTATGATTTCATTGAAGTCTTGGTCAAATGTGAGCTCTAATCTGTTCCCTAAAGCAGCCTTAGCAACTTCCTATTTCGGCACTTGGTTTTACTGCCTCAAAGCTCTTCCTCTCCTTTCTAAATATTTCTAGTTTGTTTTGTTCTCTTTTCCTTCCATAGAATTTAAACTTCACGAGCGCATGCTTCATTCATTGCTGTACGTTGAACATCTAAAATAGATCCAATTCAAATAACAGACACT